CCCCCTCCGCCGCCGCCGCCCGCCCCTGCGACGACGCCGCGGCCTCCCGCCCGCGCCCGCTCGCTCCCTCGGCCCTCGCTCGCCTCGCGCCGGCAGTTTTGGGCCTACACCTCCCCTCCCCCCGCCAGCCACCAAAGACTTGACCACGTAACGAGCCCAACTCCCCCGAACGCCGCCCGCCGCTCGCCATGGATGCCGGTGTGACTGAAAGTGGACTAAATGTGACTCTCACCATTCGGCTGCTTATGCACGGAAAGGAAGTAGGAAGCATCATTGGGAAGAAAGGGGAGTCGGTTAAGAGGATCCGCGAGGAGAGTGGCGCACGGATCAACATCTCGGAGGGGAATTGTCCGGAGAGAATCATCACTCTGACCGGGCCCACCAATGCCATCTTTAAGGCCTTCGCTATGATCATCGACAAGCTGGAAGAAGATATCAACAGCTCCATGACCAACAGCACGGCGGCCAGCAGGCCCCCGGTCACCCTGAGGCTGGTGGTGCCCGCCACCCAGTGCGGCTCCCTGATTGGGAAAGGCGGGTGTAAGATCAAAGAGATCCGCGAGAGTACGGGGGCCCAGGTCCAGGTGGCGGGGGATATGCTGCCCAACTCCACCGAGCGGGCCATCACCATTGCTGGCGTGCCGCAGTCTGTCACCGAGTGTGTCAAGCAGATCTGCCTGGTCATGCTGGAGACGCTCTCCCAGTCTCCGCAAGGGAGAGTCATGACCATTCCGTACCAGCCCATGCCGGCCAGCTCTCCAGTTATCTGCGCGGGCGGCCAAGATCGGTGCAGCGACGCTGCGGGCTACCCCCACGCCACCCATGACCTGGAGGGACCACCTCTAGATGCCTACTCGATTCAAGGACAACACACCATTTCTCCGCTCGATCTGGCCAAGCTGAACCAGGTGGCAAGACAACAGTCTCACTTTGCCATGATGCACGGCGGGACCGGATTCGCCGGAATTGACTCCAGCTCTCCAGAGGTGAAAGGCTATTGGGCAAGTTTGGATGCATCTACTCAAACCACCCATGAACTCACCATTCCAAATAACTTAATTGGCTGTATAATCGGGCGCCAAGGCGCCAACATTAATGAGATCCGCCAGATGTCCGGGGCCCAGATCAAAATTGCCAATCCAGTGGAAGGCTCCTCTGGTAGGCAGGTTACTATCACTGGCTCTGCTGCCAGTATTAGTCTGGCCCAGTATCTAATCAATGCCAGGCTTTCCTCTGAGAAGGGCATGGGGTGCAGCTAGAACAGTGTAGGTCCACTCATAACCCCTTTCTGCTGTTTTCCCATGATCCAACTGTGTAATTTCTGGTCAGTGATTCCAGGTTTTAAATAATTTGTAAGTGTTCAGTTTCTACACTTTCTCATCCGCTAAGAATTTAAAAATCACATTCTCTGTTCAGCTGTTAATGCTGGGATCCATATTTAGTTTTATAAGCTTTTCCCTGTTTTTAGTTTTGTTTTGGGTTTTTGGCTCATGAATTTTATTTTCTGTTTGTCGATAAGAAATGTAAGCGTGGAATGTTAATAAATTTCAGTTTAGTTCTGTAATGTCAAGAATTTAAAAATTAAAAAATGGATTGGTTAAAAAATGCTTCATATTTGAAAAAGCTGGGAACTGCTATCTTAAACTCTTCGTTGGTGCTTTTTTTTCCTTCCCTTTTAGTGCTAGGCGGGTCCTTGGTATTCTCTCAAGCCCTTTTCACCTTATTGGTAAGATTCCATTTCCTCTCTGTCCCAACAAAGGAACTCAGCAGGCTGAGCCTGCTTTGGGATGTTTGCAGACAGAGGGTCTCGCTGGTAGAGTAACACCCCTCCACCCAAATTCCAGAGAGAGGCCTCTGCCCATCTCTGGTAGAAAACGTAAGTGTTTTCTCAGATGGGAAAACTATACCCATTTGGTAGGACCTGAGTGGCAGTGTCTCCTCCGGTCTAACCAGGCCCATCTTCACCCGGTCACACTTGGAAAACTCTAAGCCAGGAACAAAAAAAAATTTTCTGAGGTGGGAGGAGCCGGGGGACCCACAGGAAGGGGAGGGAATGGCTGGCCTGGGGGGGAGGGAGGAGCAGGGGTTGGGGGAAGGGAAATGCTAGGGTGGGTTTGAGGGCTGGCGAGAGGGCGACTGCTACAGGGTGGTGGTAGGGATGGTGGGTTCTTGGTTGGGCTGAAGGACCAAATGGGGGATGGTACCAGCTGGGTGCACGTGTCAAACATGCACCTGTGGCAAGCAGCCTGTCAGGATGTTATTACACCTGCCAAGTGGCCTATGCAGAAACAAAAGAGGCCCAGCTTCTAATTCTTCAGCTGTGTGCAATATGTAGAGAAATAATTATACCAGGAAATAATCCTGCCTAAATGGGGCAGCCCTCACAGCAAGAATGTAGACTGAACCCATTGACTGGCCTACGAATGACCGCTGTGTTAAAAATGCAGATTCCTAGGTCCCACCCCAAATTTAATTGGAAGACTGCATTTTTAACACTCCCAAAATGTTCTTAGATTTGAGTGCCACTGATTCTCTTCACCAGAGGATTAGGAAGTTCCTGCAGTGAAGACCTAACAGCCTCATGTCCACATTTGCCAGTGGGACTAGGCTGGACCTGAATGAAGAAAAATACTCTACCATTAGGCAAAGAAACCCCAGAAACAATAGAAGACAATAGGTGATTAGGTGCCAAAGTGTTGCTCAAACCCCAGGCACTGTGGGAGTTCACTAACAGCAAAGAAAAATTTTGGAGGAGAATATTATCTGCGATAAATATATGTAGAGACTTATTCTCTACAGGGCATCTGCTTTTTTTCAGAGGTATAGACCTAGTTCCTAGAGTCCCGGGAGGTAGGATGGGGGTCTGTCATGCACTTCATACCCACTGTGGTCAGGCATGCAGTCACGGAAAGGAGCCCAGGACCTGGAGGTAAACCTGAGTTCAAATTTGAGTTTTGCTACTTTGTAGCCTTGGGCAAATTACTGCGCCTCAGTATAAGATGGTGGTAAAAGTACACATCATCTGGACATATAAAAAAGAAAGCGTATATGTAAAGCAGAACAGTGCTTATGACACAGTAAGCTTCAATTTACTTTAGATTGCAAAAAGCCAAAAAGGCCCATTGCTGTCCACAATATTTTTGGGGCACAGAAGACATATTAAAAGATAGGGAACAAAGCAATGTGTACTAAATAAGCTGAGAAGACAATTGGACTGAGGGGCCAGGACAGGTAAGGGAGACTAATGAAGACCCTGAAATGGTTCACTGTCTCCTGGAAATGAGCACAAATCCAATTTGTGTAGGGTAAGGAAAGAATGGATCATTAGATTGGCCCCTTGTACGACAAGCCAAATGGTTTGTAAGGAGGAGTTCCAGAAACTTGCTGGGTGAAGTGGTTCGAATGAAAAGGCCTCAAATTCTCAAATTTCCCTTAGCAGGCAAAGCTGGCAATAATTTGTAAAATAATGATTTAGGCAGCAAGGCATAGGATGAATGGCAACTTGGTATGATGACATACACTGACATATAGCAGGGGCTCAGTGAGTATTTGTGGAGTGAATATAGAAGCAGCAGCAATGAAGGAGGAATGGTCAAAGCAGCAGGAGAAAAAATGAGGATAGTGCCCTTGAGAAAAGTCAAGGAAGACAATTTCAAGGCTGATGGAATGACAATGCTACAGAGAGGTTTATCAGATTTGATTGAACATCTATGTGCAAAGTACTTTTGAACTAGAACTTAATGTTTTAGTACATTTAGAAGACGTGTAGTAGCTCCAGCTATGTTAGCATTGTATGTAGTAAAGGGAGGTAGAGGAAGCCACAAAATCATTTGAGGCTAAAATGTAAACAGCCTTGAATGACATAATAAAGGGTTTGAGCTTTATCCTAAAAACCAATGATATCCAAACATTTTCTTCAGTAAAAAGTCTTTGGCATATACCCTTTTTCTACATGTTTATTTATAAATTATATATATACTATGCTTATTTATAAACTATATACAAACATAATCTATACTAGAAAACACAAAAACATGTTAACAGTTAAAATTTTAAAAATTGAAATCTAATTTCTAACAGTTTGGTTTTCTCCCAGTCATTTTAGAGACCAAGGGAATACTGGGGGTGACAATTTCAATGTCATAGGTACCTTTGGGAAGCAGAATTAGTGAATATCAGATGCCAGGCCAGCTTGACTATTAGAATTTAATTCACTTGTCCCCACTTCTATGGGGACTTGCATTACAGGACTTCTCTCCCTTCTCTTTGGGGCAGTTTGAGTATGTCCTGTCCTCTTTAGGACTGAGGACTAGAGATCGATGAGCCACCCCCTGTAGTCACTGTGTTTCTTGTCATAGCCCCATTTCTACCACCCGTATTAGGCCACGTCCACTGCCAGTCAGGAATGTATAA